CGACAGATAGTAAGAGTTGATGGATATGTAAGAGAACTGATTTCAATATTAAAGTATTGAATAAAATGTTCTTTTTACTTGAAAATTAAATAAAAATAAGAATCAAGTGTCCATTGGAACACATAACTCTCACTTTCTTTCTTTCTTTCTTTTTTTTTTTTGGTGGAACTGGGGATGAAACTCAGGCCCTTGCACTTGCCAGGCAAACACTTATTCTACTGAGCTATCTCCCCAGGCCCATAACTCCCATTTTCAATGCATTAGTTACTAACACATTGGAATATTGGTTCATTCTGAAGAAGAGCAATTAGGAAATCCAGAGGGAGATGGCGCTGTATGTGGAGTGCTTGTAGCATTTTCCACTTCACAGTAAGAAACGATGTGTCCCTCTGTCAGGTATGTTAGTGGAGAAATGACCCTCTCTTTTCCTTGTCTTGTCCCTGGCTGCTTATGTCCATTGAGTGGAAGTGGAAAATAGGATTTCTGCTTCAGAATTCTTGACTGGGAGATTTTCTCCTCTGCCTTCCGTGAGTCAGGCTGCAGGGGCAAAGTTGGACTCGTCTGGCCATTAGCCTGTGCATATAATGAAGTCTCATGAATGTGAATGAATAGGCTTACATTGGACAAAGGAAGTGAGTTTTTTGCCCAGTTGGTTTTATTTTATTCGGAATTCATCAACTCAGATATAATGTAATACTGTATCTGGGGAAACCTTTAGTGCTCTTGCTGATGTACGCCTCCCGTATGCTTTTCTGCCGTGATGGAGAAGTACTGTCTGTGCTCCATTTAGGGGGTGCTTTATATTATTCCCATATGAGTGTCTGGAATGGAAAAACAATTATGGGAAGTCTGAGACCAATTTCTTTTTGTGGTACTAAGAATGGAACCAGGGCTTCATACTGAGCTACATTTCCTTTAAGTTTTTGTTTTTTGGGGCTTTTTTGGCGGTACTAGGGATTGAACTCAGGACCTTGTGCTTGCCAGGCAAGCACTTACTCTACTGAGCCATCTCCTCAGACCTTCCTTTAAGTTTTAAAGTTTGAGACAAGTTCTCACAAAGTCACTAAAGTTCCCAGAATGCTGGGATCATGGGCGTGAGACCCCCAGCTGGAACAGCTTGGTGCTTGTGGTGACCTCAGCTTATTTTTGAGATATAAATTCTTAACCAGTTCATTGCTTCAAAGTCATATTCAAATACAAAAACTAGAGCAAAACCAAATCTAAATAAACTTTAGGTTGGCCGCTATTTGTGATTACTTCCCTCATCAGTACAAATAATCTGCTTGTCTCCGGCTAGACAGACCAGAAGCTCTGAGTCGGTGGGAGTTTTTCAGAAACAGACGCTAGCTCTTTTTTCTAAGTTGCTCAGGGAGGGCTAAGGGTGTAGCTCAGTGGTAGAGCATTTGCGTGGAATACAAGAATTCAATCCCCAGTAATCATCACTCCTCTCAAAAAGTTTTTTTCCAGAGAGTGTACATCTTGCAATCTCAGAGAACATGCTTCACTGCAAAGATAAAGAATGGAGAAAAGTGAGACCCTGCTTGGGGCCAGCCAGCCTCCTCGCCCTGACAGGGTCTTCAGCATTTGGAGCTTGTGTCTCCTCCCCCATCTCTGTATTCCTGTCCTTACAAAAGCTCTACTGCGAGGCCACATTATGCTGTGGTCCTCAGAGGAGACAGATGTGGCTTCCTTTGTGACTTATTGTCTGAGATTCTTTGTTTTGTGTGACTCTGCAGCTCTGTGTGGTGTAGACCAGATTTGATTTTTCTTGAATGTTTTGACAGTTGATGTTCTTTATAAATTCCTTAGATGGTTTTCATACTTAAAAAACAAAAACAACAACAACAACAACAAAAAAAACACTCAGTCTGACAATCACAAGTGTGACCACTGCAGGAACTAATTGTGTATTTGAGAGAGGCTGGTTACCAGAATACCTGAACATCTCGCGATAGAGCAGCAAGAATGTGGGGGTGTAGCCCAGTGATAGAGACTTGCATCCTGCTGTAATCAGGGTTTGCAAGGGAAACAATTTAATGCGGGGACACAGAATTTATAGGATTACTTTGTAGTAGTCACCCAAAGAGTCAAACACAAAGGAGTGCAGGAGATCTGTCCACATACAGAGACCCAGAGAATCTAGCTGAAGATCTAGAGCCCATGGCAGTGTCCTGCCCGTGTCCAGCTGAAGGCCTAGAGCCCATGACAGTGTCTCAAGCAGGCCTGTCTCACAGGTCTACCCTGTCCAAAGGTCAGAGGTGGAGGCTAGAAAGTCTGCACCAGTGAGATGAGGGATCTGTGCCGGCAGGCTGAGGGATCCGTGCTGCAGCCAGGAAGTGATCTTGAAGTCAGGACCAGAGCGTCCCACAAAGAGAACTGCAGTGATTCTCAGTGACAGCGAGAACCCAGGCTCCTCCGGTGGTAACAGCTGAGTTCGTATCAGGGCAGCCAGCACAACAGCTTGTCCAGGAGGTCAGCAGCACACCATCTTCCCATCCAGTTCTCCTTTTCTTTTGCTGGCTGCAGTCCTCGGGAGGCCCTCCACACCTAGCGCCACTCTGATTCAGTTCAGCTGGGTGCTACAGGCTGCTCACCAGCTGTCAGTCCACCCCCTACCCTGTGTGAGGCCCTTGGTTCAGTTCCTAGCACTGCAACAAAACAAAAGCATACCTTCAAGTGTAGGGGAGGAAAAGAATCACTTCCCTCTCCTGTCCTAAGTTTTTGCTTGTCCAGGACCCCTGAAATAAAAGAAAAAGAAACGATGTGTTTTAACATACATATGTCACGTAAACAAGGGAGATGCTCATGGAAAAATGAGTAACTCCAAAAGAGGTGTTTAAGTAGGCTGAGTCAAGAAGATTGCCGTGAGTTCAAGATCAGTGTGGGCTACTGAGTGAGACCCTGTCTCAAAAAACAAACAGCAGGGGCTGGTGAGATGATTCAGTGGTCTAAAGCATCTACTTAGAAGAAGCTTAGCAAAGCACAGGGGACCGCGGTTCAATCCCCCAGCACCACATGCCAGCCAGCCCCGCCCCCTGGTGGGCTGAGCTGGCCACACACACACACACACACACACACAAATAAAAAAAAAAAAATTAAAATTTAAAAAAAACAACAAACAAACAGCAAACAAACAAAAAATAGCCAGGTGTGGTGGCATATGGCTGTAATCCCAGCATTTGGGAGACTGAGGCAGGAGGACTGCTGGGAGTTTGAGGCCATCCTGGCATAAATAGTGAATTCAAGGTCAGCCTGACCTGTATAGTGAGACCATGTCTCAAAAAGACAAACAAAACCAAAAAAAGAAAAAGAAAAAAGGAAAGAAGAAAATCCCAGATTTTCTTTTTTTTTTTTTTAGATAGTATACATACGAAAAACAAAGGGTGTGTGGGAGGCCACTTACAGGGAGGTGACCAGGACAGGTAAACAAAAGTAAGTTTTGTTCAGTGGCTTGGTTGTTGGCCTTCTCCACTGATGAGGGTTTCTTGCGACTTAGTGTTCTTTCTTCCGGTGCAAGGAGGATGCACTTGCAGACTGAGGCTTCCTTTAGGGAAGTGAGTTTCCCTTACAAAAGGGCAACCTCTGTTTTTCAGAGCGTCTTGTAATCAGCAATTGATCGAAGTGATCAGCTCGCACTGACCCTTATAGGAGGCGTATTTTGGGGTGGCCAGTTCTGGTCTCACAAAAGCAAAGGGATCTGTCTCCATCTGCTCTCTGAGTGCCCGGTGCCAGGGATCCAGTAAGAAAACCCCCAAACCTGCCATTCATTTCCTTCCTGGACCCCAGTAAGTGATAAATAATAAAGCCAATACCAGGGCAAAGGGGCTTGGGAAAGAAAGTAGATTCATCAAGTTTAGTACCCTGAGAAGAGAGAGAGGAGGGACCAGGACGATGGCTCAGTAGAATAAGTGCTTGCCTGGCAAACGCAAGGGCCTGAGTTCGATTCTGGGTTCCACCAAAAAAAAGAGAGAGAGGAGCAAGTGTCCCTTTTTTGTTGTGTTTATTTTTTAGCCTGCAGACCCAAACAAACACACTATTTTTCTACAAGTTAAGCATCATAGCAAATTACACACCTTATGTTAGTTGATACACATTAAAGAATAAGCATGGGGGCAGGGGAGATTGCTCAATAGAATAAGTGCTTCCCTGGCAAGCTGCAAGGGCCTGAGTTCAATCCCTGGTCCCACCAAAAAAGAATAAGCATGAGGGTTGGCCAAATAGCTCAGCAGACTAAAGTGCTTGCTTAGGCAGGCACAGGGACTGGAGTTTGATCCCCGGCATGTCATGCTGGCCCTGCCCCTGGGGCACGCTGATACAGTGATGAGACTGGGCGTGGTGGAGTGTGCCTATAACCCCAGCCCTGGGGAGGCTGAGAACAGGAGAATCACTCTTGAGTCTGGTCTGTGTAGTGGGACCCTGTAGACCCTGTACTAAATGCAACAACAACAAAAATAGAAAAAGAAAAAAGAATAAGGGGGGGAGGCATTGCACATTCTAATGTTATGTGAAGGTCACCCGAATTTCTTGGTGCTGTTAGTGGAAAGAAAGGTTATGCACAACATCTCAGTCATTTAGCTGTGGCTTTTCTTTAGAATTTAGAATGTTAGGCTAAGGGAGAGAGAAGTTAGAGGATGACTCAGGAAAGGTCAGCCACTGTTACAGTTTGGATGTTATGGGTTAGGTGACCAGAGGGGTCAGTGAGAGGTGAGCGGGGTACTGGGGACTCATTCATTCATGTCCCCCGACCCATCCATCCTAAGCCTGCCAAGCCTGTCATCCTATAGAACCTTTGAATTCAGTCTTAAGCACTATGCAGGACCGCACTCTCCTGAGCAACTCCGCCTATTGGGCATTTGTATAACATGAAGAAAAAGTTGGTAGGTAGTATGCCTGGCAAGTGCAAGATCCCAAGTTTGATCCCCAGTACCAGGAGGGGTGGGGAGGAGGTAGTGGCCTCATTCTCTTCATTTTCTCTCTCCCGTGTCCCGTATCCTTATCAGGCCAAAGTAGAAGAAAAGATCCAGGAAATCTTCAACTCTTACAAGTTCAACCACCTTGTACCAAGGTAAGCTGTGGGTAGGAGGTGAAAGGCCTGGGCGGGGGGGATGCCTCCCACGTGGGCACCAGTTGCCTCTGCACCTTCTGTTTGGCCATGAGGAGCAGCTGCCGTAGACAGGTGTTTCCTGCCCCTGCGGCTACCTGGATATGCATGTGGCCCCCGTTCCCGCCTGCGCCAGTGCACTTGGGAGGAGGTGTGCCACTGTACAAGTTGTCGGTTGTTTGATAACCTATGAGGTTTGAAGATGGGGAGAGGAATTTAGGTTTTTAATTAATTGTGGCCTGCTGCTTTTGGTGTTCACGCAAATACTCAATTTTCTCTTTGTTTACCTTGCTTTTTAGAACAAATAGATTCCAGGGGGTAGCAAGGCATAGATTCCTTTAATGGAAATCTTTATTGTTCTGCAGTGCTGGAAACTGAACCCAGGGCCTTACCCATTCGAGGGCCTTACGCATGGCAGGGCCTTACCCCTGAGCTACACCCAGGCCAAAATCATTTGACGAAAAATTGAGAAACCTAAGTTTATCTAGCCTCGTCCTGGTTGAGATTTAAGCGGCAGATTCCAAAGATGGAATTCCAGATGGGAAATGCAGTGTTTTCTGGAGCTTAGCATACTGAAGTCTTCAATCTCTGGGGTCAGAAATTCTAAGAAAGGGGGCCAGGGAGATAGCTCAGTAGTATAAGCGCCTGCCTAGCAAGCGCAGGGTCGAGTTCAATCCCTGGTACTGCAAAAAAAGAAGAAGAAGAAGAAGAAGA